CAACACGGGAAGGTGGCTGTGAATCACTGTTTGCCAAGTGTTATCACTCCATCAATGCACCACATGAAGGGATGGAATGTGGACATGAAGGTACTTCTTTTTCACACACCTTTACATTGACAGCAGTGTTTACCTGGACTTCAAGTAAGACAAGTCTGAACAGTTTCAATAATGTTCTACACAGAAAGAGACAGACAGGAAACCCAGGCTCAGTGACTGAGATTTCAAGACAAAAGAGGGAGGATGCAAGGTACTAAAAGGAGGTCATGCGGATGCAGAGACATACGATGTAGGTGAAACAACTGACCTTTGTCTAATGCAACAAGAATTTTCTCAAACGCCTTCAAATTCCCTTTCCTAAGTTCAGAAACAGTGCCACACATTTGAAATATAAAACAAGACCCAGATCTGTTTTTAAATAAGTATGTAAGCACATTTCTGTAAGCCCTATGAGTAGATTTTTCCTTAGATCTTAAGAATAAATCTTTTTAAGTTGGGGGTGGTAGTCCGAGGCTGGAACCACAATGCTAATAAAGGCTGCATCAGGAGAATTGTCAGAAATTCAAGGCTAGCCTGGGCTACACAATGGGTTCCAAGACCTCTTAAGCCCCAGTGTTAGATAATGTCTCAAAAACTACAGAAAAATAACATTTTGGAGAAAACTTAACAACCTGTTCTGGAAATCTTAAATAATAACAAATTTATTCGTGTTAAACAGATAAATGGTAAAATACCTTAAGAATATGATCTTGAATTAATTATTGAAACTTGTACATTTTAACTACTTTTTCTCATGTGATTTTTTCATAACATATTAATATATACTACTCTACTACAGAAATGTTTAGGTGTTAACCTAAAAATTAAGAATTTAATTTAGATTATTCTTGTGGGTACACCTTTTAAATCAGTATCAGAGATACAAAGATGACTTTGTGATGAGTGATACTCTATTCTAACTTTGTAGCAAGAAAAGTATGTCAGGAAGTATTGATAAGCAGATTATTTTATCAGTCCATAGTCTACACAAACCACACATTAGGACTATCTGTTCTTTGTGGATCTGTTTTGATTTGGAAGAGTTTAAATACTGGACATACAGTAGTATAAAAGTCTATGATAACTTCCAGTCCACATGGCACGACAACCACTCTCCTCCACAGAACTGACACTTAGTTCTAAAAGATGGAACTTCTTCTAGAAAATGTAAATTATAATTGCCCTTTCAAAGACAGTTACTGAATTGTCCTAAATGAATAATCACTAGTAAGCATTTACATAGAATGTCTGGGTCAGTATTGACGCCACAGGAAGGACTACACTGAGGTATCTGGTCTGTGGGACCACTTCACCTTCTCACACAGTGGAAAAAGTATAGTTAATTTTACCTTTTTCTTGAGGTTTCCTTTTGTTCATTTGTGTGTTCTTTCCTTTTCTGATTTGATAATCTCAATTTGGGAGACAAAGTGAAAGCGACTGTAAAATGCTTGTGTAATTGAAGAGAAGTAGAGGCATTTCAGAGCGGCCATCGTGTCTCCTACTGTCCCCCACCACCATTTTCACATCTAAGCAGCTTGGTTATGGCTTTCAGGGGAAGTGTCAGGCACAAAGGTTAAAGGTGCAATTAGACACTCACACTCCATAACCTCTACACATGGCTTCTTCAGTGCTTATGGTAACCTTGGGGAAAGCACTTAAAAACCAAAAAGAAAGGGCTGTTAAGTGTTAACCAATGTACTATTCTCAATTCCTGTGTGAGTGCCTTAGAGCACCTTCATTAACAAAAGTAACTAAACACATGTGCAATGACAGAGAGCATGTTAGAATTAGAAATATAATACACACACAAATGGTCTTTAAGGCAAGATGATGCTTCTCACCCAGTTCATATTTCGTCTGTCCAGTTAATGAGGGTCACATGACTGACCCAACCACCCAGCTAGAACTGATGTGAACAGTCTACTTTAGCCTCATTGACACAATTGAAGACCACACCCTCAGAGGACCTTCTGACTTTTTATATAAATCAAAATTTGAAATCGTAACATTTCTAAGCTTGAGAAAGCAATATTTTATACAACAATAATCAATTCATTGTCCCTAATATTGTTAGGTCATTTTCACGTCATTAGAAAAACATACCAACCATGGGAAATACTTTTGCAGTAGAAAAAAAAACACTATTAGAACAACTCCAGTTTTGAAGCTAATTCTTGGAACTTATGGGAGTTATTAGAGTGACTAAACTCATTTAGCCCTTTCTAATCCTGAAGTTTGGCACAGGCAGTTGACACAGAAGAGCTTACACTCTGAGGTCTTTATTGTCTCCCTGGAATAGACACTCAGCCCAGAAGAAAAGGGGAAAAATGGCAGCAACATCCAACGCATTTTCACAAATATTCCCCCCAACATAAACATTAACCAATTATAAGCAACCATGCCATCCAAAAAGGAGCCCATAAACCTTAAGAACTAAATAATGATATTACATATTTTCAATATGTTAATTTTTCATTTGGATAAGAGAGACAAAAGCAAGGGCCTTCAAAAAATATTTTTCATAAGTTTTTATCAAATTTCTTACCATCAAATGTTAAATAAACTCTTGCTTGGGGCTGGGAAGATCCTCCGACAGAAATAGAACAAATAAATACTCCAACCAACACACAAATCGCACGGAAGGCCATTTCTTCTGATTTGAAAATTAATGTCCAAGGGAAAATACCTTCAAAAGAGAGATGAGAGACTTTTGAAACGTCATTTCACATTTTGGCAAACCAGAAAGACAGCAATGGCTTTGGAAAACTCAGCCTAAGGTCTGCAGCCACCAAGCAGTAGGAGGTGCTGTGACTTTGTTTCTCAACTGGAAACAGCGTTTGTCTGTGTATGGAATTCTTCACGTCAAGGAATGGCATTATCTTCCTATAAAAACAATGCTGACCATCAAAGCAGAACAAAGCATCAAGGGAAAAACTTAGTTGAAACCCAAAAGCTGAGCTCCTTAATATCTGTTCCATTTTGATGATTGAGTATTAATGAATAAAAAAGAAAAACCTCTCCCTAATACATACAGTAGGAGAGACATTCCACATCGCCATTCATGGGTACCCACTTGTCCCATAGTCATTAACTCTTCTGGATTGTCTCTGATATAATGTTTCCATACATAAATCTAGCTGCGCTCCATCCCACATTTGTAAATCACTTCAATCAGGTATTTGCCAACGCACCCAGATGACCAGGCAGCGGTTAAATGATGCAGATGAGGTAACCATGGACTCATGCCAAATTTAAACCAATGACCTAGTGGTGAGTAATCCCCCCCGAGCTTCACATCCACCAATGCATATTTCACATAAATCAACCAGAGAGTGGGCTGTCAAAATTCCCAACAATAAATCAAAGGGACAGCATTCTTGCTTGAGAAGTGCAGCTATAAAATTAATATAAGCTATTAACTAAGGTCTGAATACAAAGGGTGGCCAGGTACTGTTAGAACAAACCTATGTGAGTACCACTGGCCACATCGTAGCAGTGATCTCGGGAGCAGGAAAGGGACCTCATCACTTTTCATCAGGTGTAAGTACACAGTAAAATGACCAGCAGCTTAATTTGGAAATGCATCGTTACAGATTCATGTTACATGGCTTTTTAAATTGATTCTAGTCAGTAAGGAAGTGCAGTTAAAAATTGAAAGGGCTCTTTTCACGGACACACAAGGAAACGAACAATTAAGCAGAGCATGCAATCTCAAACAAACATCTGAGCTGTTCTCGCTGGTAGCACATATGCTGCAATAGTTAGACATGAAACTCTATGCCTCTGCCACACAGACGGAGTAACCCCTAGAGATGTTTGTGTTGGTAATTTTCAAAAGACACAGTTTCTTCCTGCTTCCCCAACCTCTTCACCCTGCCATCCCTCAATTAACTCAGAAGAAAATTGATTTTTATGGGTGACTTTCCCTTAGCAGTTTATCCCCTGGGACTTGTTGACTTAGTAGCTAAAGCCAGGGGGAGGAGAGTACTATTAATATGTCCAGCCTTGGTCTGTTTATTAACCAGGTTGGAAACATTTATCCATCTTTACATACTGCTATTACCGGCGTATAATCTGATATGCATCCCTTAGAGAAGACATACTTCATAAATTTCAAAGCATAATACCGTCTAGATGACTTGGTAGATCAGAAAGTTCTAGTCTGTCTGAAAGAACAACCTGGTTTCAATCACACCTACTGATGGGCCCTGAATGCCAAATGTTTCTCTCAATCTCCACCACCTTAGCGATTTACAACTTTATTTCTCTAACTCGCACAGTTAAATATGCTGGCTGGTGACTGTTCTTCTACTATCAGCAAATATGAGAATATCAGAATTATATTGTGTCATTTCCACCGGATTTTTTTCCTTAGAAGGCATTGGAATACCCAACTTAAACTCTTGGCAGGTGCCACAATCTCCAGCCAGGCACCAGGCTCAGGTCCGGGAGCGCTTTCCTCAGAAGCCGCGTGGGCTGCTAAGAAAATGCCCAGACTTGAGCACACCGATGGAAAAAAAAAAGTCAGTACACAGACCCAGAAAAGTTCGATTTCTCTAACCCAGCGAGGCTGAAAATCTGAGACCGGCTTACCGAGTTGGGAAGAGATCCACCAGAAGTCAGCCCACTTGCTCCCGGCTCGGAATCCCAGTGCCCCAAGTGCTTTCCCCCAGAAGACCTTCAATGACTTAGAGAGTCCCGAGGGTGGGATTCTTACTGGCTGAGTTTCTTTGTAGAAGAATCCCGGGCGGGAGAGCCGCGCCACCCGGAGCCCTTCTCCACCACGTCGCTCAACTCCGCACCTCGGAGTGAATGGCAAGTGGCCGGGCGCCGGGGGCCGAGCGCTTGGTGTCCGATTACAGCGACGCGGCGCGCGGCTGAGGCTGCCCGGGCGCACCGCCCAGCCGGCTGCAGCAGCGGCCCCGCGTGGCCCGTCGCATGTGCACGGGCCGCCGCCCCACCCAGGGAGCGCCCGGCGGCGGGTGGCAGGGAGCCGGAGGGAGGGCGGAGCGCAGGCTGGCTCGGAGCGGCCAGGCGCCGCCGCAGGCTAGACCCTGCCCCGCAACGCTGCCTCTCACAGCGGACGCTCGCTTGGCTACGCGCTGCTCACGGCGAGCTTGCAGGCTTGGCTGGGCTGTAAATATCCAAGCGCAAAGCAACGTTTTGCCAGATGAAGGATCCCTGCATCCTTTTAAGGCAAAGAGTTACCGTTTTTAAACTGGCAAGGATCTTGTCTTAACCCTGCAGCAAAATTTCTAAAGCCAGCGGAGAGAAACCTACTCTCTTCTCTCAGAAGGGTAACCTTGCCTGAGCATTGTTTCCTATTGCGTTCACCTAAAGTCCCCGAGTCAGTAATTAAGCTGACCTTTCCACTCCGAATCATATCTAGCACCTTCCTCTCCCGGACACTCCCAAAACAGAGTGGTAGAGAATTCCATCTTTCTTTTCGGGTTGTTTGTTTGTCTGTCTTTGTTTTGTTTTCAAGAATGCTGTTTTCAGTCGTGCCAACGCTGGGGCTCATAAATCTACGCACCAGTCCTGCTTTCAGGAAAAGTCGTTAAACTGTGGAACTGACTTTAATGGTGCGGGGCGGGGGCGGGGAGGGGGAGCGAATTACTTCTCCTGGCCATATTGAATTAAACGGTTGAACATCAAAAGAAAAGACTTTCACTCCCTGTAAAGTGAGCCGGGCTTGCTTAGAAGTCACTGTGCACTTCAGCCCAGTAGGTGTCAGTGTGTGAGGGAACCTTGAGTGCAATTTGTTTGCAGCTTAAGTACTTCACCTAACTAAACGAAGTAGAATCTTTAAATGCTTTCCAAAACTGGGACGGGAAACACCTCCAAGGGTACCGAGGAGTCTCACTGCTCACTAGGGCCTAGGAAGGAGACTTTGTCAGAGTGATGGAGAATATCAAAGTACACTGTGTCTGTATCCACTGAACCAGGGACCTGAGTAGATTTGATCGAAAGAACATATATGAACAGGCAAGAGATGCCGGGACGTGTCCCATGTCACTCATCACGTGAGTCTTCCCAATGAAGAGCTCTAGGTGTCACCTCACAGCTGTTTCAAGATTAATACCAAGAAGACAGAAGGAACACCTCTCGCCTGGATGCACACTTGGGAGATAACTAAACGTCCTCTGAGCATTTTCCTGAAGTATCTGCGGTCAGCTGGTCTACATGTTTGTGTTCCCACACTCCTTGCAGGAGTATTTACAGTAGCCATGCCAGTCCAGGTGCCAGAGGCAAACTGAACCAACCTAGGAAATGTGCATGTATTTTGAACACCACAATCACAAATTCAACTGTACATGCTCCCCAGACTTAAGGAGGAAGAAAAGTCCTTTGTACAAACATGGTTGGAATGGGAGGGTGTGCGGAATAGGATAAAGTAAAAAGACAAATGCCCTGTCTTCATTTATCTGTAAACATGGAAACGATTTTCTCAGAGGAGCAGAGATGAGAAAGGTGGGATCCAGAGGCAGGGAGATGATGGACATCAATCAAATTGGATGAATGGTTTGGATTCTGTTTTAAATTCCATAGCACAATGTGGTGAGTATAGCTAATACCTGAATTCTGACATTGTCACCTCCAAATATTAAAGGATATTTAGCAATTGCTCCTTATTATATTCACAAGTCATACCACCACACTGTCCAGTAAATACAGCTATCATTTGACAATAATAGTAAAATTATTTAAATGTACTTCTTTATACATTGATAAACTGAATTCAAGAAGTTGAAGACAATATTCCAAGAATTATCTTCAAACGTATATGAGATTAATTGGGGAAAAGCATCTATTTAATAGATGTGTTACATTTTAAAAATCAATGTAGAATGGATTTAACTGTTTTAGAACATGTAATAAAAATTTGAGCAGCTCCTTGATCAAGGTTTATAAAACAAGTCAGAAACATCTGTGTATATTAAAAATCAATCAGAAATAAGCACTATGCTTGCTTGATGTACTTCACAAACTAAGATCATACATATACCTTGCCCAGTTGTTTTTATGTGGATATAAACAAAAATGGAATCAGGGTCCTCAAATATATGATGCAACACAAATCAAATCACTAGAAACATAATTGAATTATCAATTGAGAAAAGTGAAGCTATTTGACACCAATTAATGCACCAACTCATGCAAAGCAGAATTTTCTTATACATGTTATCTTTAAGTTTCAAGGAATCAAGACAAACCACAAGGTTTCTGTGGCCAAACAGTGATTTAGTTGGGTGTCTTAATTCAAAAGTAGGTTTACAAAATCCCAGAGAATTAGGTCATTCTTTCATGCCTACTCATGAGACTTTGGAGACTGTGACAAATGCTTAGATGTAATCAGAGCCTGTGAAACATGACCAAGATCCTCTTTATCCAGGCTTGGTAAATCCTTTTCAATGTGCTCCTGAGATTTAATGGTATTTACTCAGCCCTGGGACATGTGTAGTTTGGCCACACCTCTAAATGAGTCATAAAATGCTGGTAGGCATTAGCCAACAAAAGTTCAAGGCCAAGGACATAATCAGTGCTCAGACTTACCTGAACAGGAAACAATAGAGTAAACTGTTTGGAGTCACATTAGGTGTCTCTGAGATTTCCCCCAAACTGCTCAGGAGCCTGAAACTCTTTCACAAGGCAGCATTCAGGTGAAAACCACTCTTTTTAGGCCATAACCTGGACTCTTTCCTTACAGATGGGAAATCACATTAACTAATTTTGGAAGCTGTGGTGATATTTTGTTTATGATCTAACAAATAAAGCTTGCCTGAGGATCAGAGCACAGAGCTAGACACATTAGTTAGCTGTAGAGGCCAGGCAGTGGTGGCACACACCTTTCATCCCAGCATTTGAAAGACAGAGGCAGACAGATTGTGTGAGTTCAAGGCCATCCTGGGCTACTTGAGATAGTATCTGTCTAAAAGAGAAACAGCTCAAACAAAGGTGATCCAAGCACTTGGGATCCCATGCCTTTGATCCAAGTACTAGGGAGGGAGACAGGAGAGATATGGCTGGGAAGAGACAGGAATATAAGAGGAGACAAAAGAGAGGTTCTGTAGATGCACAGATTAAGATACACGGGGCTTGGTAAACATAGGTTATTTTATTCGGGGAGAAGTCACTTACAAAAGAAACTGATGACCCATGACCCGCAAAGTCCAGTTCCAAGGATCCACACCCACGCTGCTCTCCGTGACCCAACTGGAACCAAGCAGAGATCTGAGGTCCCGAGACCCCAGACTTAGCCTTCGCCCATCACATCCGCACTGTGATCATGCCTGAGGAGGTAGTCTGAGGAGACAGTCTGAGATATACTCAGAGGAGGTAGTCTGAGGAGGTAGTCTGAGATATACCCAGAAGAGGCAGTCTGAGGAGGCAGTCTGAGACATGCTCAGAAGAGAGTCTGAGGTTGCAGTCTGAGGAGGCAGTCTGAGGAGAGTCTGAGATATACTCAGGAGGCAGTCTCAGGACAGGATCGCCCCCTTTAGTCTGAGATAAGAACTCTCCAATGGCTGGCTGCTTTGCTTATCTCATCTTTCAGCTCCCACCCCAATATCTGACTCTGGGAAGCTTTTGGGAAAAAGTAGTCAATGAATGAACACCCAAGTAAATTTGGAAGGTACCAATTCCCTAGTTTTCACATTAAAATGTCTCAGAAAAGAACAGTTCCAATTTGAAGTCCTGAAGAGCACTATTTTTTCAAAGTCTGTACTACCAAAGGGTACCTGTCTGCATCACCCCTGTGTCTCCTTGGCCAATGTTAGTAGCTCTGACACCAGGGCCATCAGACAAGTCTATCTTAGAAATCTGTATGTGGAATTACTATCTAAAGGGCTTTGTATTTCCTCTATCAAAACCGTAACTGCTTATTTTTAAATCTGGATGATTATATACCCACCTTCTTTCTCAATTCATTGTCTTTCTCTGTCCCTGTCTATTGATCTTTTTCATTCCTTCCTTCCATCCTTCCTTCCTTCCTTCCTTCTTTCCTTCCTTCCTTCTCCTCTCCATCCCTCTTTCCCTGTCTTTTTTCTTTCCCTTCCTTCCTCCCTTTCTTCCTCCCTCCCTTCCTTTCTTTCTTTCTTTCTTTCTTTCTTTCTTTCTTTCTTTCTTTCTTTCTTTCTTCTATCTTCATGTTGTTGCTGTTTTGTTTTTCAAGACAGGGTTTCTCTGTGTAGCCCTGGCTGTCAATATTTTTCTTATGTTACACTATATGGTTTCTAATTTCAGGATCTGAGGCAGGAAGAAGAAGGAGGAGGGGAAGAGGAGGAGAGGGAGGGCAAGGGGAGGAAGGAGAATCGTCAGTGGTATCAGTTTTCTATTGGAAAAGATTCACCAGAAAGAAAATTTTATTGTTGACATTATAATTTGAATTAAGATATATTTACTTGTGGAATTTAAAGTTCAGGGGCAAGGTAGTCAGCTCAGTGGTAGAGTTCTACCACTGGTTCAGTCTCCAGCACAACAGGTAAATAAATAGTAACTGAAAATGTCAAGCCCAGGTTTTCAGTATTTCTCTAAGAATTATTAAAGTCTTAACCACAGCACAGTAGTGTGCATCTGAAGCACAGGAAGAGCCTACTGCCTCCAATGTTTATGTTTTAGAGTATTTCACTTGGAGAGTAGAATGAGAAGGCACACCAGTAGTATGACTGTTAGGTTGGTTTTTTTTCCCCCTTTTCTTTTCTTGCAAAAATGTCATGCGTGCCCGGCAGCAGTGTTAAAAGAATGTTGTAAGCATTCACACTTTGGTCATAGGGTGAAATGCGAACTCTTTGTTAGTCCTTATGGCATCTGCAAGGCAAAATCCCAGTGAGCCTGCAGTTTGTGTGTCATCTGGGGCTGCAGTTGCAGGTGTCTTTATAAATAAAGTTTCTTCCTCAAATATATACACACATACTCAGGGTCTTAGTCTTTCAAGGAAAGCAATTGCTTTTATGGAACTACTGTAGTTACAGCTTTCATTCACCCTTTCCCAAATGGATTTCCCTTGAGTAGCTACGGGGGGGGGGGGGAGGGGGTATGATTGTCAGGTGTGAGGAATGAGACGGAGGAGTAGGGACAGCTAGAGAAGTAAAAGCTGAACTGCTAGTTATGGCTAGCTGAGTCCCATCTGTAGCCCACCAACATGTCCCAAAGCCGTGTCCATGAAATCTTCAGAATTTACCAATTTCCTACTCTTCTTGAACTTTAAATGGTTGACTGGAAAGGAGTATTAAGTTTCATAAACAACTTTTTTTGCCCTGGCAGATGCATTCTTATAATGAATGGCATATGACTCTCTCGAAGCAGTTTCCACTAGACAAAGTGGTGAGTGCAGAAACCTTGAAATATTGACTGTTTAAGTGGTCTAATTTTAGTCACAATACTTACAGATCTGGAATTCAGATGACATTCACCAGGTCTGTAGACACATGCAAAGATCACTTTTAATCTCCAGAACCAACATAACAAGAAGATATAAGTACATCCACTCTGGAAAAAAAAATCTAGTTCAGAGACTTAAGCAAACTCCCTCTACCTGGGATAAGGAATTTGATTGTACTATACCAAAACCAGTACCTTCACTTATTAAGATTCTTGAGGATTTCTGCTTATTTTGGGTTCTCATCCTATTGTTTTGAAGACTAGACTAGCAAATACAAAGAGTGTATGTCTTTGCTATGAAAGAACAGACAGCTTGAGAGAAAAATCAGTGTCTCACTCTACTTTGGATTTGGTAGGAATACCTAAAACAGACATGGTAAATTGGAAGCTAGAATGCAAGAAACATGTGTAGAAGGGAAGAACAAATCAGTAAGATGTACCCCTGGTAAAAGAACACACAAATATAAAATAAGATAATGGAAATGATTTCATCATCCATTCAATACATTCATAGTTACATAAATACACTATGTTACTTTTAGACATCTAATTTGTTACTGGGGAAGATAGATTGAATTGCAATCTAGAAACAGGCTTGCATGTTTCCTCCAGACCTAAGTTCATCACTGTCAAGAAAGATTGAGTGTACCCAGTCTGCAAACTGTCAACAGAATTACCTAAAACCCTTGTGCTCACCCGCTGGGAGGTGGTTGCTCATACAACCCCTTACACTCTCTGTTCCCTGTCCCTCTCACTCACTTTGTGGCTGGTGCCTCTCAACTCCATTTGCATCAAGAGACTTTCTTTTCAGTTTTGACTACATCACGCCTTGTCACACTTCAGTGACTTAACACACTCTCAGTTTCCTATCCTGGGACCATCCTCATGTAAACCCCTCAAATATGGATCTCTGTGCAGTCCTTTCCTATAATCCTGGGCAAAACAAATCACTTAGTATTATTTATGCCAAATAGCAATATCATTTCTGATGTCAAGCACATTTGACTTTTATTTCTAATCCTTCTAAAAAAATCTTAATTTACATGACAATTCCAGTTCCCTCTCCCTCATGTCCTCTCATTCCCCCTATCATCTCCCTATTCCACCCCTATTCACTCCTCAGAGGCCTCCTATGGTAAGTCACCAAACTCCATCATATCGTATGCCTTGCTCAGTCT